TGTGTATTTATGTCTACGTGCATGCTGCATACAAATGGCCAAAAATCAGTTCCCGATTCAAGTTTTTTTCTTTTGGAAACTGAATCTGACCAAAAACACTTGGCCTGTTTTCCATGTACTGGTCTTGGGCCCAACCCAAATTGGTCCCAATTCCCCCCCTCCCAAATATCAATTTTAAACATATAGAAAATCCTGTTTGAATTTATAACGTTTCTATAGCGTTGAAACACTTAATTTTTTTTTTAAATACTTCAAAAAGAACTTTAAAAACTTAAAAAGAGCACTTGGAGTTTTTGGTAAAAACACTTGAAAATCTAGAAAATTTCGATATATATAATTTATAAAAACAATAGGGTCTATGTATAACCAACCTCGGTCCTGGTCCCGTAAATGGCTTGAATTTTCTAAAAAAAGTGTTAACTTATCCCAGACTATCGACTCATAACTAGTCCTTATCAGTCCCTAACGACACCTGTCCTAATCGGTCCCAAGCCGGACCAGACTAATTTTGGCCATCTCTAACGCTGTGTTCTCGAAACCTTTTTTACGAAGGAAAGGGAGGAAAAGCGAGGAAAGTAAAAAAAAGTTCGTGTTCTCGAAACTTTTTTTAAGAAAGAAAAAGAAATAAACGGAAGAAAAATAACCAAAACTTTCCTTCCAGATGGGGAAGGAAATATATTAAAACTCTCTAAAAAGATCATTACAAAACTATCCAACCTTTCATTATAAAAGACACATCTTTAAAGAATATATCTGTAAAAAAATGACATATTTCATATCATTTCTCCCCCGTTCAAGAACATGATTTTTTTTTCTTTTCATTTTCTTTCAAGAACATAAATATAAAAATTATTTTCTTTTCTTTTTCTTTCCAAATTCGAAAACCCAACATAATATTGTTAAGTAATATCCCTGAAGAAAATAGAAAATAAAAGTAGATATTTGCAATATTTACTATTTAGGGATGGATCCAAGAGGCCATTTACCTAAATGCTTACCCGTAAGCACTTCCCGTTAAGAGTCAACACTATAATTTATTTGATCAGGTAAGATTGTAGTACATCAAAACGTATCTTATGCAATAATTTATCTGGTAAGCGCTTACCCGGGTGAGAGTAATCACCCTCACTTACCGGGTAAGACTCTCCATTCTTATCATCGTTCTTACCAAGTAAGATTATTGCCCCTTGCCATGTTCATCCGATAAGAAAAATTACCCAATAAGTACTTACCGGGTAAACGTGTAGTAAACGACCCCTAAATTAACCGGTAATGGAATAGCTGAACTGAACTAGACTAGTTATGAATTGGTCAGCCCCGGCCCAACCAATTAACCAAAGGAAAAAAGAAAGGATAATGGGCTTTTTGGTACTAGTTAAGGGCCCAGTCCAAGTTTAAGTTGTATTTAATTTTGGCACATAACATTTATTTTTATAACCTTGGATTGTTAAAAATGCATAATTTAAGTGTTGTATATTTGATTATACATCTTATTTTATTTAGGTTATGTTGTATTTATAATTTAACTAATATATATATAAATAAAAATTAAAACAAAAAAGAGCAACTAGCTCAATTTTTTATGGACCGGTTAACTACCAATTATGCAATTTTTACGAGTCGACTGGTTATAATCTATACAGTATACACACATACAACACATGTTTATCGCTATTACTTTGGTTATAATCGACATCGTCTTAACCGGTTACTTCTTAGGATGGTTGCGACGAACGAGTTAAGGGTCACCCGATTAACCAAACGACACTTTTACCCTTAACACTACTAAATGGAAATTTTTTACCTACGTTTGAAAGGTTAACCTATTTGGGAATCTCCAGATCATCTTTATTGGTTTTATTGGTTCTACTTCACACCCGTAACTTTTCCTCAGCCAGGCTGGGGCAGAGAATGCATGTACCTCTATACCATTTTCTACAGATAATTCCATTATTTATACTGAGAGAAATATATGAACTGAATCGGAAAAATTGGGTGATCCGTTACGAAAGGGTGATTCGTCACAAAAATTGGTGGGTAAATTCGTGGCAGGTAATTCAAATCAGTGATATATTACCCCAAGTATTCTATGGGTGATACGGATCATTTTTCTCAAAAAATATTGGATTTTATCAAACTATTGGTATTTTTTAGATGATCCGTAAATAATCACCGACGGAAATTAATCTTGATGAATTTTATGGATAAAAGTCATTTGTTTTATAGTATGATAATAAAGAGAGAAACTTTCTCGCTCTCATAATTAAGGCTAGAACAGAAATTGAAAACTTACATTTAAAAGTGACACTTATTTTAAGATAAAAATAAAGTAATAACATAGACACTTAATTCAGCTCGGAGGGAATATGTCTCACGGACTTGTGAATAATCAACTTCATGCTTCCATTGTTTTTTTTTTGAAATATATAATATTTATATACGACAAATAGAACAAATAAACTCATATACCCTCCCCACTTTTAGTGAGGTTTGAACCCTTGACATTTTAGGAGGCAAAAAACTCATATACTACCTTTGGTTAGAGATTGTTTGTTTACCTCTTAATAGTTCCATTAAGAGGTATTCTCTGAATCGTTAAGAGGTGAATCTTGTTTGGCAAAAAAAAGTCTGCCTCTTAGTGATTCTAAAACCCTCCGAATGATTTTGTATCATGGGTCTCCCTTAACCATTAAGAGCCCTAATTTCATTGTAAATAATTACCAAACAATTATATTTCATTTTGTACTATATCATGAGAGCCTTTTCATCATTCTGACCACTTGATAATTCTGAACAAAATCATTCAGCAACTGCCAAAGAACCCCTTACCTCCATTTTGTTATTCATATGTTTAGCCTCAATATTTGTTTGAACATGGCTATTGTTATTCATAATCAAAATATTATGTTTTCAACATGAAGGAAATTAAGCTGTGACTGCGATATTTGAGTTGACCAATTAATATTTTAATTGGTTATTTTTATTTTTATTTTCTAAGTTTATTAGTTGCTAGTAAACATATGAAGCAGCCTTGTCATCCACCATAACATCATCTAAATGGAACCTAATGACATATTTAACACCTAACCTGTTATAATTAAGAACAAAAACCTTCTAGAAGACTTATTATTTCATGTGAAAACTGCATATATTAATTACTAACCTAATTTTGTAGTATCTATCTATTCATAAATATACATTATATGTAATTATCAAAAAAATATATATATTGTTTTTGTATCTTGTTAATGAATATATATTGAAAAGTTAGTTTTATGGTTTTCAAAATATTTGTGGTTCTTATTTGAACATGACTACATCTATGTGGGTGTGGATATATATATATATATATATGTATATATATATATATATAGAGAGAGAGAGAGAAGATCATGCGAGAAGCAAATTAATTTGCAAGAAGACGAGAAGAAATACGAGACACATACCTTATTTAATAAATGAATTAATAAAACATTATTAAACTAAATCGGGATTGGGTTTGTTTTCCAAACCGATTTATGATAATCCTCAATAAACCGATTTCATCGCAAAGATAAATTTGTAACAACTTGACTATAAGTTTTTATTACATATGATAATTTGTCAATGATCGTATTAATCATATATGATAATTGTAGGCATTATTGTTAATTATATGTGATTATGTATATATATATATATA